CAGATGACACTGTCCTCGGTTTGGGTATGTCTCCGTCCGTGGCTCCAGCTGGTACCACTGGTCGTCCCAGCAGTGCAGGTCCTGCAGCACAGAGATGGGGGTGAAGCCCTGCGCAGCCTTCCCGGGGGAAGGATGCTGCTCAGGAACCAGGTCGCACTGGGTTAACAGGTCAGGAAGATGGTGTGTTGGGTAATTCTATTATTGGATTAAAAATAAAAGATTTATCATCACTGAGCAAGTGTATTGGAGCGATTGGGGCATTTGCCACTCTGCTGAGGGACCTGGCTTCAGTCTGTGGCTCTGAGCTGGGATCCTGTGTGCGCTCGGTGCTGCCACGGGGCTGGATCCTGCCTGGACCCTGTGAGGTTTAACCATAGTCACTGGCAGGAGAGGATGGACTGCAGTGCTCACCTTCAGGCGAAGGACCACGTTCCCCAGGAAATCATCCTGCCCTTTGTCTTTGCGAGCATCTTTAAAGATCCTGAAAGGCATGAACGAAGGAGGAGCTGGAAAAGTTTCCTGCAGCCACGACCTGTCTGCAGCCAGGTCAAAGAAAGGCAACGCAGACCTGCTGCCCTCCTTTCTGCCTTCCAAAGATAATTTTTAAAATCCAGCAGGCAAATAAGCATTTCCCAAACCCTCTTTCCTCAGCAGCCTAGGCCCACGCCAGCACCAACCGTTTGAGGCCATGGAGGTCCGTCAGCTCCCCCAGCTTGTGCCGCACCGACTCCACCACGTCTGAGTCCCTGCAAGGGTGGGCAGTGAAACCCACCATGGAGGAAAGGGGGAAATTCAGGGGCTGTGAGACAGTTCGGGGAGTTGCAATGATGGTGGAGAAGGGAAGGTGCTGGGGTGTAGGGGAGAATGTGTCGGGGCTGAAGCCACCCCCAGGACCAGTTGTCCAGCCAAAATAAAATGAGGGCTTGGAATCAGCCCTGCCTGGGCAAAGCCAGCCTGGGCTCTCTCGGCTCAGGCTGGTTGCATCCTGCACTGTGCACTGCTCCAGCAGAAAGCAATGGAGGAAAGGGGTCCCCAGCTGGTTTCAGGGGCTTTTTGAAGGGCACAGGTTGAAGGATCACCCCAGGAGGCAGGACCTCACTCAGGGCTGGGGGCTGAGGTTGCTGGATGGAGGTTGCTGCCACTCACCACATGTCCAGGTGGAAGCTGGCTGTCTCCACGTCTTCAAACTCCCTGCAAGGCACCAGCGGGATGCTGTTAACTGAGCAGCAGCCGAGGGACCGGCAGCAAGCAGGCAGGATGGCTGGGGATTGCAGGCAGGGGCTCTTTTCCCTGGGGGAGACCCCAGAGTGCCCCACACAGCCCAGGGAAGTGGTGGGAGAGCCCTGAGAGAAGGCTTTTAGCCACACTTTTGTTTTTCACCTCCCTGGACCTGCTGCATGGGTCAGACCAGAAGCCTGACAAGCTCCAGTGGGTATCACACCAGCAGAGCTCCTGGCTGGAGTGAGGGCACCCCCTCCAGCCCCCCTCCCCAGTGAGCAAAGCCAAGGGGAGAAGGATTACAGGATAAAGGTCTCATCCCACACTGGGCTGAGGGTCTGGTTTATGACTTGAGTACGATGGATCTGGTCTTCGGGGATGAGGTCTTTGACCACAGCCTTCATCCGCCTCTTGTGCTCTGGGTGGGACAGTTCCTGGCTCTTGGCCTCGATGCCCAGCAGGCAGTACGGGTCGCTCAGCCCTGTGAGGGCAGAGGCATGCAAGTCCCCGTCGGGAGCAGCAGCTGTCCCTTCTCTGGTGGAACACCCACCCATCCCCACTTACCACTGACATCTTTACCCAAAATCCCTTTGGCTTCCTTCACGGTTGCTTTCAGGCAAAAAATTGGACTCTGGAAGAAAGGAGGAAAAAAAAATAAATGCTTGATATGGGGTCACCAACTCCATGAAGAAGAATGAGGCTTGAGCATTGCATCGTTGGCTGCTGCTTATGTCAGCAAACAGCTCCTGAGCATGTCTCTCAGCAGAGCCTGGGCACCCCTTACCCCAAAGTCTGAACACGGGGGCTCAGAGGCACTGCAGCCCCCCCCAGAACCACCCCGATGCAGCGATATTATTCAGGGAAACATTGTCTTGCTACATACCTCCAGTTCCTTGACCTGCTGCATAATGGTGTTGTGCTCCTCCGCATCCATGCCGAAAGCCTGTGTAGATATTGGGGTGGGTGAGGGCTGCTGTCCCGTTAATGAGGCTGGAGAGCAGCCCGGGGCTTCCCTCTGCTCCCTGGGAGCTGCAGCTCCAGGAGGAGGGAGAGAAGAAACGAGCCCAGCGGAAGGGCTGAGGAGCAGCTGAAAGCTCTTGAGGGAGAGCCTCCTTCCCACCATCCTAAGCCTAAAATAAATATTTCTCCCTAAGGCTTATATTTCCCAGCCGCAAGCTGTCCCGGTCCTCCAGCTGGACCCTGCTCTTACAGCTTTTAAGGTGCCTGTTAAAAACGCCTCCTGAGTGCCTCAGTGCCAGCACCCCCTTTAACTGGGAGGATGGACATGTCAGGGGATGGGTTTTGGGGACCCTGTCAAGGAGCTGGGGGACCCACCTTTTGCACGTAGGCATAGAGCTATATTTCCCAGCCGCAAGCTGTCCCGGTCCTCCAGCTGGACCCTGCTCTTACAGCTTTTAAGGTGCCTGTTAAAAACGCCTCCTGAGTGCCTCAGTGCCAGCACCCCCTTTAACTGGGAGGATGGACATGTCAGGGGATGGGTTTTGGGGACCCTGTCAAGGAGCTGGGGGACCCACCTTTTGCACGTAGGCATAGAGCTCCTGGGTGTCAGCGATGTGGTGGTGCTCAGGTTCCCAGGCGGTGCCGAATGGTGTAGAGGACCTCCTCGTAGAGCAGGGACAGCTGCGGGAAGAGTTGACACCTTGTGTGGGGCCAGGACAGTGGGACTTGCTCTGGCTGTCCCTCAGTTTGTCCCCACCCCAAACTCCTCATCCTGCCCATCAGCCCCTCCTGCCATCCAGCCCTGCCCAGCCACCACTGACTGTCCCTGGGGAGCAGCTTCAGGAGCTGAGCCCTGTCCCCACACCCCAGCAGTGCTGCCACCCCATCCAAGGGAGACCATGGTGGGGCCATGCTCATACCTCTCTCTTTGAGAACCGGTGGGACAGATCCATCTAGAGAAAGAAGAGAAGCAGAGAGGTTTCCTGTCAGGTCTCGTGGCAGAGGGTGGGGGGAAAACCACAGCCGGGCAACAAAACCGGGACAGGGTGGCACCACCCATTGGGGTGGGATGCCCCAAAGAATGCCGTGACACCGCGCAGAGGCCCCATGGCTGAGGGACTACTTCCTCCGTCACTCTGTCACTGGGTGCCAGAGCCCTGGCACCGGCTGGCC